AAATTATTAAAGCAAAAGGAACTGAAATATCTCTAAATTGGGTTCCAGGATATATTTTAGTAAAAGGAAATAAACTAGCAGATAAACTAGTAAAAAAAAGCAATCATAATATATTCTATTTCAAACAAAACAAGTTTTGGATTTCTAGATATAATGATTAAAGAATATGATTCAGATTAATAGCTTTCTACTTTCAATCAATACAAACTCAGATCAAATCAATCCCCTTTGATTTATTCAAAGCTATTTCTATAAAAGATAGGATCGAAAATCAAGTTATCAAGTGAAACCAAGCGAAACATTGCTAGTACATATTTTCAATTCAAATTAGGTTATGGATATATCAAATCTTATTTACATCGATTCAAACTTTCTAATAACAAATATATATATAATAATATTGAGGCTCTACAATACTTCTTTATTAGTTATCCTATATACAAAGTAGAAAGAAAAGAAATATTCAAGAATATACCACTATCTAAGATCACTATATAGTTCCTACTCTATATAAAAGTAGGTATTAAATTAACTATTAAATTCATCAATATCATTAAAATCGCTACAAGAGCATAATACTTAGTCAGGGCTTTTATACAAAACGAAATAGAGGAAGGAATAGTAGTAGAAGAGGAGAGAGAAGAAGAGAATAAAGAAGAAGTAATTAGAGAAATAAGAGAGGGCTTTGATTTCCTTACAATTTCTTAATTTTCATAATTTTCTTATTATATATAATGTGTATAATGAGCGAGCACTGTTCCCTAGTATTTGTTTTTATTTCTCTAAATCGTATATATCCATTTTTGTAGAATAAAAAGTTATCCGCTAGAGCCTTTAGAGGCCTAGCCGTCCTATATAGTCTTAGACTGAAGATGGACGTAAATGAAATCAATCAATCAATCAATCGAATAATAAAAAGTGTATTAGCTTTGTTTTTGCTAAATCGAATTGGATTGTATTTCTAGAATTGAGTTTATAGATTTGTTTTGTAACTCTCTTTAGGGTTTTGATATTCTTTTTTCATATAAATAAATATATAATTAAAGTAATATTATTTATATAGAAAAGAAACTTAATTAAATTAAGTAAAAAGAGCTCTCTAATATATATAAGGAAAAGAATTGGAGAAATCGGGCTGCCTTGTAATATTCCGATTGAAATTGGCTTGAAAGATTTGATTTAATTATTAAAAGATAGTTTTAATTATTTTTGTTAAAGAAATGAGGTTATTCAGGCTATCAGATTTATAAATAGTTTTAGCTTTTACAAATATTTAATAATTGATTTCTCGAAATATAATCGAATGCTCCTTTTATATTTATAAATAATATTAAAATCTTTTTATTAACTTACTTATTTCTTTCAATTTCTATAATTAGTAAAAATACAGTATTAATTGCTGATTTCTTTTAGTATTCTTTTATTTGATTTTTGTAAAGGAAATAGATTATTTCCATTAAATATTCTAATCGTTGAACTAGAATCCTTTTACTTATTTATTTAGACAATTTAAAAATACAATTATTCTATATACTTTTAAAAGAAAATAATCTAATTTGAAAGCTTTCTTCAGAATAGCTTTTATAACTTATTTCCAATATTTCGGGTGATATTCTAGATTAATAAGTTTATTAAAAAAAATAAAAAAGATTTGTAAAATTATTTTGTAAGCCTTTATAATAATCTCTTAAATAATTCTATTTAGGCCAGGGATTTTTCCTTGGATTTTGATTAAATAAGTATTGTTTAATTCGATTTGAATAAGATTAGGCCATTCCTATTACTTAGATTGTTTATACCCTTCCCATTATAATTTTGAGGTAATAGGAAGGGATGGGAACAGAGTTGATTTGAAAACAAAGCATTTTCCTTCAAAAGAGCTTTTTGTTGTAATATCTAATATCCTTTAATTTTGAAAATCTTTAGTATAAATTATTACTTTGAAAATTATTTTTATATCCTCCTTTTCTAAAAAACTTATTCCAATAATCCTTTTTTGCTATTTTAATAGCTTGAAAATACTTATTTTTAACAATTTGATATTCTTCCTTAAAACTATAATTCTCCAAATCTGATTCAATTCTTTACTTTACTTTTTTTAGTTTTTTTCGAAGATCTTTCAATTCAGATGTTCACCATAGTTTGGCCTTTTTGATTGAAATAATTTTAGGTATACACCTTTCTATTGCTTTTTAAATAATCCTAATAAGTTTGCTTGTTGTTTGATTTAGAGTTAAATAATAATTGTTTTTGTTTTTCAAAAGATTTAAGGAATCCTTTTTGATTGGAAGGATTAATTCTAAATTCGATAGAATAGGGGAATATAAGGATTTCGATTTGAATATTGATTCGAACTTTTTTCAATTCACTAGTTTAGTATTATATTTAACTATCGATCTAGTATTAGAAGTACTTAAATCTTTTTTTCCTTTTAATTTGAATAATATTTCTACATAATCAGATTCTATATCTAAAAGCGTTTGCTAATTGTGAATTTAAGGAGAGATTCTCTTTGATGTTAGTATTAGATCAAGAATATTTAGATTAAAGAGATTAGTTCGATAGAAAGTGCTGATTTTGGGTTTGTTTAAAAAAATAAAATTCTGATCTTTAAATTATTCAGCTAATTAATCAGTGTTTCTGTTTTTCTTCGAAAAAAGATCCTATTATAAATAATAGGCATTGAAATCGTCTAAAAGAATGGTTTCTTGTGTGATAGATATATTATATAAGTACTTTTTGATTATAAACCTTTTTCTTTAGTTTGATTAGCTTTGTTATATATATTAATAATTTAAAAGGTTTTGTTTCTATTTTGATAATTAAAAATCTGTATATCAGAATCTATTGGAAAATCAAAAACTAGATTGATTATAGCTTGAAGAGTTTTTGATGTATATAGTAATATATGTAATTAGTAATTAGGATTAAATCTTGATAATATTTGTATAAAATTAGAATATATAATAGATCTTGAATTTGAATAATCAATTTTGTTTTTAATAATTCAAGATTCTTGAATTATAATAAGATCAATATTAAGTTTTATTGTAAGCTATAAAATGTTCTCTATAGCTTGTAAACTCTGATTAAGATTTATTTAAAGGATTCGAATATTAGTGTGATTTATTAATAAATAGTATTCGATTTTTGTTAAATAGTCTGATAGGTTTCATATATTTTCGAATTTGCTGTATGATTCTCTTAGTAATTCGAGCATTTTACTTTTAAATATTAATAGAACTTTCCTTTGATATTATATACTATATACAAGTATATTGATATAATATACTTGTCTTCATATAATCTACAAAAAGGGTTCCTTTTACAATAAGCATTCTGATATTCAAATCCTTGATATTTCTGATATTATATAGTTAATTTTGATTTGTAGAATTATTCTATTCTTATACTATTTTCAGCAATATATAATTACTTTTGAATAGTTAATTCTGCTTCTGATTTTGTAGCAAAAGTAATAACGATAGTACTCTCTTGTTAATAGACTCTTCTGGAAACGGATATAAATCAAAAGGGGGTTTCTATAGACTTAAAGTTTAGATTAAAGGTTTTGATTTTATTGAATATAAAATTCATTTCTTTTGTATCTGAAAATTCTTTAATTAGGATTTTGTGAATAATAACTTTATATTATTCTTAATCCTTTTGGATTCTTTTGAATTTGATAATATTATTTCAAATTGCTTTCTTTTCTAATAAGAATTGTAATGTAAGGGATTATTTGTTATAATAATGATATTATTATTAAAGAATATAGTTGTTGCTGTAATAACTGGCCCTTTAATTCCAATCTTTTGAAAGGTTTTATTTATTTTATTCGAATAATTAAAGGGAAAAAGGAGGTAGGGTTTGAAAAATCTGGTTTGATTAAAATAATTCGTTTTTGGATAAGGTTAGATTTCTTTTCTATATTAATAAATATAATATTTTTCTTTTTAGAAACTAAATTCCATTCTTCTTTTTTGAAATATTAGTGTATGTTGGTTTCAATATAGTAGTAGTAGTAATAGTGGATAGAAGAGGTTTAGCTAATATTTTCGCTTATAATTCGATTTTGTATATAGCAATTTCCAAATAAATGATTTAAAAGGTAATAATATTCAAAGCTATAATAAGCTTCCTTTTTTTAGTATATTCTTTAAAGATCTCTAGGAAATCTAAGAGCTTAAATTGTTCTTTGTATGATTAGGAAAGAGAAGAAGCTAGCATTATAAGATCTTTAGTTTTCAAAATAGTTTTTTTAGATATATTTAGATTGTTTTAGATTTTAAATTATTTATTCTAATTGCTAAAGGATATTATAGAACCCCATTTCTTATTCTAATTAAATATATAAATAATATTAATTGTATCTTGAGTAATAAAGGAATTATTAAATAGATTGAATTCTTCAAATCTTTTTTTAGAACTAATTGACTGATTAATTAATAGGATAGGGCTAGAGATTTCGAATTGAGGGTTTTCAAAAGATAGAAGAGGGCTTGAAGATATTAGGGTATTTAGGATAATAATAGGATAAATGTTTGATATAATAGAGGCTTCAAAAGAAGCTTTTATTATAACCATATCCCTAAATATTAATAGATTATTAAGAAAACTTATATTGAGAATCTAGTTTTTATTCTGATAATTCGGAATGAGAAAATTTTATGTGAATTTTCGTATATATTTGTGTTTGAAGTACTAACAACAATAGCATAACAACTACTGGTCAGAATCATTGGGGGATAATTGTAATCAATTTGGTTTAATAACTATGATCTAAATCGATCGCGAATGGATCGTATTTCGAAGAAAAAGTTTCCTTCGAAATTTGTTGTGTGAAGAAATCTTCTTCGACTCTTTGTGGCAAACGATCCGAAGCTGGCTCTTCGGCATCTAGCTCTATTACGCCTAGCGATCAAAAGCCGAGGGAAGCCAAAAGTGCTCCGTATCAAAGCCCGCAATATAAAATCCTACTCGAGGCCAAGGGTAGCTTCATGCGTAAATCGCATTTGGGTATCGCGGACACAAGTAAGACCGTTTGCCGGACCCTTCTTGAAGCGGAGCAAATAATTCCAGAGGATTCATTGTTTCAAGATGATCTCTTTGAAGAGACGTGCGAAATGATACCAAGGTTATTCAAGATATCGCTCGACTGATCGTTCCTTCCGCTCAATCTCTAGCTATACGTGGCGCCGAACGTCTAAAACCCTTGATCGAAAGTGTCAACGAAGGCTGGAACAATTCTATCGCTCTAACCAAGCCTCGTCCGCAACCCGACTATGCTGTTGGATTCAAGCGAACTGCATTCACCGAAGATCAGCTTAAAAAAATCCAGCCGTTTATTGGTGGTTTCTTGGAACTGTCTTTCTTCATGGGTACATACTATATGTACTTCCCGTTTCTTACATGCGAGGTCAAGTGTGGTACTGCGGCTCTCGATATTGCCGATCGACAAAACGCTCATAGCATGACACTTGCAGTGAGAGGGATAGTCGAACTCTTTAGACTTGTAAAACGAGAAAAAGAGCTTCATCGAGAGATACTCGCATTTTCAATCTCGCATGATCATCGAACTGTGAGGATTTATGGTCATTATCCTACTATCAACAAGGAAAGCACTACTTTTTATCGCCATCCGATCCGTACATTCGATTTCACAGAACTAGATGGTAAAGAGAAATGGACAGCATACAAGTTCACCAAGAACGTCTACGATATCTGGATGCCGACTCATCTGAAGAGAATTTGTTCTGTTATCGATGACTTACCCTCTGATTTAGATTTTGAGGTATCGCAGCAATCCGAACTAGGGGAATCGGGCCTTTCACAAGAGTTAGAAAGTCACAATCTTTTTGAGCAAACAAGCTATGATGCTGTGTCTTGGAAGGAAGCTGGTGATCAGTCAAGTCATATTGGTTCGGGACATATTACTCCTGATACCTTGCTATCTCAAGAAATTGAGGAGGGAGTATTCAAAAAGCCAAAGAAAAGGGGTCGACAATAAATAGCCCTGTTAGAAAAGAGTTTGGGAATGTAATGATAGTAATAGAAATAGTGTTTATTTCATGTTATTATTTACGATGTTATATTCTATTAATGAAAAGCCTAATCAAAACCCTACTAAAATAGCTTGATATTAAATAAGAAAACAATAAGAATTGACTAATGCATAAAGTGTAGAATTTGAGCCATCCTAATTAAAAGACAAAGAAGCTTGTAGAAAGCTTGAGAATTAAGAAAAGAACTTGTAAAAAATCCGTTTTCCATTTCTCGTCTTAGTATTAAAACTTAATTGGTAGGGTTGTGGTCAAGTGAAAGATCCCATGGATTAACCAATGTATTCTTACCATAAATACCAGATGACTGAGGTGGGTATGACGATTGGGGTGGATACGATGGTATTTGATGACGGTGATATAGAGATTGCTCGAAGATGGTGATGGCGGTATATTCTGATGCGAGATTGAAGGTAAATGAAACGAAGGATTTATTGTTGATGGATTATTGTAAGGACTTTGATAAGGAGTACCATATGATTGTGATGGTATTGGATACCCATATTCTATTTCTACTTCGAAGAAAGTTCTTTTGCGATCGAGATTATCGGGACAATATGGAACCGCTTGTTGATACTTCCTCCAATCAAGCAATCAAAGATCGTGGTTGGTGGCGGTGTGGTTATAGCAAATCGGTAAAATTTTAAGTTTGTGGCGGCTAACCTGCGGCTGCGCCAGAAAATTCCTGTTGGAACAAAAAGTGGATCTGTGCGCAGCCAAAGCTTCCGCTTCACCTTTTCATTCCGGTTTTCACTTCTTCTCTTGCGCTCTACGACGAAATTAGTGTGCTGTCCAATAACCTTCCATCCCTCAGTAACGAGAAACCCACTGTGCCGAGAAAAAATCAGTCTTAATGACTATGGTATGCCAGCCAGCACCAACAACCGGTAACGTACAAATGCCGAGTCTCCTTCGTCTGCCACTCGAGCTACGGAACCAAATTTACCGTCACTTGATCCCGGTAAAGCGCATTATCGAAGTATCCCGTCCTTGCTTCAAATACACTATCTCATACAAAGGAGCGCTAGAACTAGATATCGCAGGCTTAGACGTTGAAGAGGTTGTCTCTGACTCCCATGATTCTCGTCTAGAGCAAGGTGAACAAGCGCTGTGAATATCATGATTTTGAACAACTGGTGATTAACCTTTGTGAGGACTTCCACTCGTCCGGTTATATGGAGATTTCAAGGCACTTGAATTCCTCCTGTGTTTGAGGTCTTCAGGCTTCTTTCCAATTAGAATTATCCTATACATATAGACACTTTCCCACTTATGATTTACATTGCATTGATATCGCATTGAGCTATAGGAGACGGATATACTGGCTCTATCTATCCTACTGCAATGCACGCTGAAACCCATAATCATATATGGATTCTTGATTCAGGAGCCTCTCATCATTTTACTGGTTCTGTTGAAAACCTTACCAATCTCATACCTTGGAGTTCACTACGAAGAGTTAAGACTGCGAATAAAGTATTTGTTTCTATTCTCAGAGGGTTCTTGTATGCCTGATAAATCTATATGTAGACGACGTAGTCTTGTAGGTGTACGAACAGCTGTATGCTTGCTGAAATGCTCATTCATCCCCCCTACGAGACAAGGCTCGCAAGCTTTTCGACCGGCACTTCTCTTGTACTCTATTATTCCTGCATGTTCGTGATCGACAGCTGATAGGATAGATGAAACGGGTATCATGACATGAAATTGATGACATGGAATTGATGAATCTGGGCAACTAGTTGTGGCCGTCTTGAAAGACACTTGATAGTATGAGTCATCGCTTAAATAGTTGTATCATAACACCTTCTTTAAACTTGAATTCTCCCATTTAAACAGTAATGTGGGTTTACCAGGACGCTGTATGTGTCATGACCCTGTACATTTCAAAGTATACCAAAATTCAGGCTTTTTTGATATTCAAAATTAAATAATTAAGTTATCTTATCAATTTCAGATAAAGTTGTAGGTTCCACTTTTTCTTATATGTCAAAAACTATTGATTATTTCAAGATTTCTTTTCACCGAGTAGTTTATTTTATTTCTCAGAGTTTTCTGTGAAATTTCTTTAATAGAATAATGATTGGTTATTACAATTGGAATATCAAAAAAGCTTGAATTTTAGTGTATTTTGAAGTGTACAGGGTCCTGATATACCACGTGATCAATAGTACATGATGTGACGATCTGGCCTCAGGCCCAGATTAGTCATCCATTTACCCCACCTGGCAATTCAAATCTCGCTTGGCTCTTGGTCCCTTCCGGTCCTATAAAAGCCTCTTACAGGTTCACTCTTTTGTACAGTAATTTGTTATTCTCTAGTATCGATAATTAATTCAATTCACTGCAATGCCTTGAACCTGTTGTCGTCACACATGGAGCTTTTGATAACTAGCTAAATCAATCTTATGTATTGGTAGATCATTGATACATTTCATTGCAGCCTTAACATATCTAATGCCTCCTCCGAAAACCATCCAACCTTGTCTTCTTCCAGAACACTGTTAGCACTTCACAAAATTTACCACGAAATTGATATACGTCGTGGCCAACTCATGGAGGCATGGGATAAAGCTTCTCCCTGAAGATATTCAAATCAACCAACTGCTCTGAAAATGCGGCCGAGAAGCATAGGGATATAGCAGCCCGTACAAAGTACCGCGAAATCGACTTCCAATGCGGAATTCCATCAATGAAATCTGTCGGAAACTTCCCATTTCCACAAGAACAAATAACCTGGTGACCATTTTCTATGGATAGAGGAATGCGGCCTTGAGCGCGGTATTCGCAGCAAGCTTGATGCGACCACGATCGACAGCGTTCCACCATCGCAGGCAAATTCTGCCTCCATAGTTGCATCTCATCAGTATCAACCTCGATGTGGCAGACCTCCAGACCGGAAAAGTCGCGGAGGAACAGGCCCAGTTGTGGCATGAGCTTACGTGTGAGGGGCAGCATGGCGCAGTCAAGGAACACTGTTCGATTGCTAAGGTCGAGTTTCAAACTGTTAACGAGAATAATCACGTGTACGCCGCCACCTGTAGGGTTGTTAAGGGTAGTAATGTGTGATTTGTGGCCTTGGAGACCAGTGAAAAGCATGAAAAGCGTAAGCAAAGAGTCCCTGAACGCGAAACGAACATCTCTCTTGGCAGTGGCAGCCGTTGCTTGGGCCTTTAGCTGGCGTTCTCTCGTATTGAACATCCCGCCAATATGTGTGTTGAGCCATTGTATCTCTACCTTCTTCGAGGTGTCAATAATTGGCAAGCATTCCAAGTTTAGACGCGACATATTCCACAAGATGGGGATATTGCGGGTCAAAAGGACTGGATAGAGGTAGGCTGGAAAGTCTTTCCAGATTGTGACATCCGCTAGTGGCGCTTCGACCTCAATGTACAAAGACTTACGAGCAATTCTGGTTCTGCTTTTCATTCTGATAACAGGTGCGGGAAAGTGAAAAACGATCGGTATAGAGTTCGGACCAACGGTTTCAAAGAAGGTGCATGGTGACTTCTGGCTAGTCTGGACTGCGCCACCGCTTTGCAATGCCCTCTGGAGATCGCTAGAGAGCATATAGAGCCGGCAAGTCAGAGTAGTCAATTTCAGTGTTGCAAGATCGATATTCGCAGAGATTGTGCTACTAACACCAGATTTTTCTGTGCTTGGACCTGATTTTCTTGAGCTTGGATGTAGCATTAGGGAAGAATCATCCTTCTGGTTCGGAGCAAATCTGGTGAAGAAGACGCTTTTCTCATCTCCCAAGGTTGTCTCGAAGATATTCATCTCTACTCCCAAAGCACTTATGAAAGTGCGTGCAGCATCTGGCGTGCTTTGAATACCAAAGGCAATCTTTGCATCTTGTGGCTCCAGCAACAGTGTCCAGGTCGGGACCAGAAATAACACTAAGAGAGGGGAGGTACCGCGCCACCTGAGTTGATCCTCTTCAATATTAACTTGGAATGAGTCCGTGTATCGGGTCCCTGTTGTGGAAAGGTTGCCGAAGGAGATCTGAATCACGGAAAAGATATTCTGCCATCTCTTAGACTTGTAGCTCATAGACGACTGTATCAAGCATTGCATAATAGGTGTTCCGATCTCCCTGGTGTCGACCTCTGTGATGACTTTGACTTTCTCTCTTGGGACTATCAAGGTAACGCACAATATGGAAGGAATTTCTTTCCAGTTTGCTAGACGTCCTTTCCGGGAGATGTCCGGCTGTATCGGCAATGACAAAGTGGCCACGGCAGTCATTGACATAGTATACAACGTATTTTCCATACACCCCACTCTAGTGATGTGTATATATTTTCTACTATGTATTTCAATATATATTATTGAATGCTATATTATTAGAATTATTGAGGTTGTCATCTAATATTACATATCACTAATAGGATACAGAAATATTGATAATTAATTGGCTAAAACGAATAGCTAGCATATATATATCCCTTTTTTGAGATTCTAATATTTGATTCTTCAAGAATATCATTACTTTTAATTATATTGATTACAACAATAAAAGCAAAATTCAATAGAATATATTGAATTTTTCGATTTATCTTATATTTTATAATAAGAGAATTATTATAATATAATTTTTTCAACTCCCAAAAGGGATTTTGATATTATATAACAATAATCACTTTTTTAGATTCAGAATATTTAATATGAAATCAAACCCCTTATTTTATATTCAAAAACTATTAAATTCTATTATTTTATTATATTTTAATCATTTTATTATTAATATATCAGTTATTATTATTGAAAACAATAATTTAATTATTTATTCCTCAAATACTTTTAATATCATCGATCCTGATTATTTTATTGATTAACCTTAGCTTTTTGATAATATTGATATTCCTCCTTTATTTAATCCTAGATTTTATTCTATATAATTCTCAAAAAGACTTTAAATACTTGAATTTATATTTATTCCTATATTTATATTTATAACACTCAATATTAAAGGACCTTAAACTAAAACATATTTTATAGTTCTTAATACACAACATCGAGATTCTTGAATCTGGAAATATATACCTGATACTGATTCCAATACTATTATGTTTAATAATCAAGATAAAGTTTAATGAAAATATTATTATTACAAATAAAAGTACCTCGAATTTGATAATACATATATCATTATAATATATTTATATATTTACTATTTAATTAATAAGACATCCCCTTAAAAAAAGCATTAAGAACATATTTAAGCTATTATATAACAAGTTATATAAAATACTAGTAAATCCATTGGATTTAAATATGTAGAATAATAAAAGATAAAGAAACTCTTGAAAATCTTTTTGATAAGTATATCTTAAATCCTTATATTTTAGAGCTTTTATTTATATATTTATTTGTATATTATTCTTTATTAGCAAAACTTATTAAATATAATAAATTTCAAGCTATTCTTTATTATCTCAATAAACAAACAATTATATAAATTCCAGATTCTCAAAAAACCTTAACTTCTTGAATTGATCGAATTATAAAAAAAAATCAATTTTATATTAGATAGATTTTATATATATCCTAATCGAATATTTACCTTATTCAGAACTTTTAAATCTCCCCTAATAAATATAATATTCTCAGCTTAGTTATACAATTTATTAATCAAAATGGTATGCTTAAAACTCTTACTCTTATTTTCAAAGAGATTATAGATTAATATACTAAGGAAAATATTACAAAAGTTTCTTACAAAAGAAATTGAAAGATATAAAATTATAATTAAATTGGGGGTAATAGTAATGGATAATAAATCAAATAATAATATCTGCATACGAGCATTATCTTCTAATAAGTTATTTTATTCTTTTTAATATTCCTACTAATTATTTTTAGTATTATTTGATAAATTTGATATAGAATAGTACCCAATCGAATCTTGTATATACTATCTTACACATTCTATTAATCTAACTACAAAAGCTGTAATATTTATTAATAAACCTATGGATTAATAAGTTAATGATATTTTTGAAGATAATATTAATATTGAAACTTTTATAATTGAAATTGAGATTATAGATAAAGACTAATAGAATGAATAAAGGAAAAAGGATACAATTGAAAGTATTATTGTTTTGCAATATTGTTTCGAAAAAGTTTATATAAAATATAGAACTTTATTTACCTTGTAGGAAAACAAATTCCTATAAATAACAACACTCAATGAAATTCTTGAAAAAGATATACAAATCTTTAGAGATTCTAAAATCAAGAATATATATAAACAATAATGGCAATTATATTCTAATGATATTCTAAAAACTATTAAACTATCTGATAAAGATTTTGATACTTTTAATAAATTTCAAAAGATACTTATTGTATTGAAAAATACAATACAATTCTCTAAAAATATTAATATTATTCTCAATTATATTTTACTTACACTAAAGTATTTATTAGATACTTTGAAAAAGCAAAAGTAAATTTTAAACATTCACATTCTATCTTTTCTTTTTTATTAGATTTATCTAGTATTCCTTATATTAAAAACTAATTAATTCAATTTCAGAAAGAATATATAAATAATATATGGATGGATTTGAGTTGTAATAATGGATAATCAAAAATTGAGAAATATTATACTTTAACAAATAATTCATTCCTTTATGTAATTGCAATTGTCTTAGATCCTTTGCAAAAGTGATTTTATTTTGAATTATTTTAGATAGTATATATAAATCTTTTAATAATTTATTATTGAAATTATATTAATAATATCAATAGGATTATCCACATTGAATTATTCAAGCAAAAGCTTGTATAGAAATTTTACTAACAAATACAATATCGAACTAAAGCTTTTGTACCCCTATTATTGTTTTCATTAACATCAAGTTTTGGTAAACGTAATAATACTTTAATTATATACTTAGAATCAAAACATGCAAATCGATAATCTATTAACAAATATATCAAATACTTATTAAGCCTAGCTCTTAATAAAATTAATAATATTAGGAAATGATAGCTTAAAAGAACTCAATAGGATTTTATATCCTAATCTTAGCAAAATAGTATTTGATATTTTATCAATACCTAGCTTATCGATAACAACTAAAGAGTTTTTAATAAAGCAAAAATCATTTATACTGATAAACGAAAACATTTATCAATTGAAATCCATTAAAGATTGAAGTGTTTGAAGTCTTAACTTGGTTTAGAGCAATGGGTTATAGAAGATAATATTAATAAGATTCTAATTTGATAATAATAAAAAGATAATAGTATTTTAAATAGTTTTAAGTCTTTTATCGAATTCTTTCTTTGTATTGGTTTTTGCTTATTTCAAATCGTATTGGAATATTAATTAGTCTAAATTAGTATTAGATTTTGTCTACCTGCTTGGTTAATTGAAATGTTTCAGTTTCTAAGCTGTATTTCAGTATATATCCATTAATATGTACGGCTTATTATATATACAGTAATGAGCAATATCACTTTTATATGTATTAGTGTAGTATCAGTGATGTCTATATCAGTCAATCATAATACTAACTTACAACTATTTCCAATGACTGAAGATACCCATAAGAAGTTAGCGACCCGATGCATGAACTCTTATCGACGGGCGAAAATCTCAAAAAAGATATTTGCAATTCTTCGGATACCAGAAAGGCCACGAGGCAGATATTGATAAAAAAACGATAGACTCTTACCTACCATCTGAAATTCAATATGCTTGTCAGTATTGGGTATACCACTTGAAGGAAAGCGGAATTAATATATACGATAGCGACCAAGTCCACAATTTCCTCGAGTATCACTTTTTTCTACTGGCTTGAATCATTAAGCTTGATTGAAAGGCTACAAGAAAGTATTGGGATGATAGATAGCTTGATAGTTATAATAGATATATATTACTTATTATTTTCAATTACAAGTATTTACTAAATATAATTTTTAAGCTAATAAAAGGTAATCAAATATCTAGATTCCTTTACAATACAAAGTGCTTTATTCTCAACTATTATTCTATAACTGACTCGTCGCCCCTTCAATTCTACTCCTCTACACTTATCTTCGCCTCCCAAAAAGTATTATTCGAAATACATTTCATAATTATACCCCTGATTAAATCCTACAGAAGCTAAATACAGATCTGAAATGGAATACAGTTCTTCAGACGCTCGAAGAGCATAACACTTCGATCCGCTCGATCGCTTTCTCAGCCGACTCGAAACTGCTGACGTCAGCATCGTGCGATTGCACAATCAAGATCTGGGATGCAGCTACAGGCACACTACAGCACACACTCGAAGACCATATTGGCGCTAGAAATTTATCATTTAATATCACAAACTCAATCTTAATTACAGATATTGGCTACTTTAGGTTAAATATAAACAGTAATATCCCTTTGCCTCCTTTATCTTCTCGAGCAATAAATAATAGAAGCCATCGTCAAGGATTAAATATCAATAAGTCTTGAGTAATATGGAATAATTAGAACCTTCTTTGACTACTACCCGATTTCCGGCCTGGAAATTTTACTATCTTGTATACCGGCTCGAAACTTGTCATTGAGTATCGATCTAGGAGAGTTTTTTATTATTGGAATAGATAATCTATATAGTAATATTTTTTTAATAAAGTTAGCTTATTTTCAGAAATAATTATTATATATATAAACATTATCTTCTCCTTGATATTTATTTTATAACTGAGCTAGAAGAGAGGTATAGGGAGAGCTATACTTATATACTATTATGGATTATACCAGATTCTTCTATACCTTCTAACTTATATTGTTCTTGGCCAGTCCAGTTGTGTAATACATACTTTGACTTTGTGGGAAGTGACTTATAGACTGTGGCTGATTGTGGCAGTAATGCGCTACAATCAATAAGGTTAATCACGAGTCTTTTCCCTATCTGTAAAGGTTGGCTGAGTGTTAGCCATTTTTGGCAAACTACTAGTCCGTGCTTTAAGCTCTAGTCAGCAAGGTGTGCACAGCCACAAACATCGCAGCCATATATTCAGTAGTCATAAATATCATTTCATCGAAATTACTGTAGCCACAACCGCCACCAACCGCGATCCTTGATCGCTTGATTGAAGGAAGTATCAGCCTTTGTGGCGATAGTGTATTATATAGCGTACTGTGATTACTACAATGTTGAGAATAAATTTTTAGCATTGCAGTAAAACTCGGAAACCTCTATCTAATCGTTCTACGAGTTTAAAAAGCGAAAAAGGCTTTATGGTGGTATCGC